ATATTTTGTTGCATTAAAATGTATTGTTTCAAAACAATTCTCTTTGACAAAAAATATTAAAGGATTGAAAATGTGTAGGAACAATAATATTTGCATTTGTGCGAGTTAAAAGACACAAAGGAAACTGAACCTTGTATATCAGGGAATAAGAATGCTGACGGCTAAGGTCTGGAAATAAATTTTTTCACACCACTGCACAAATGGCCAGCTGCACAACGGCCACTTTTCCCCTTCCTCGGAATCACCAGGACTTAGTTATTGCTAGAAGCAGGATACTAGACCAGGTGGACCAATGGTCTGACTCAGTAAGCCAACTCATATGTTATTGGTTGCATGGTAGTATTAACTGCTTACAGATTTAATATCCAACCCTTGCTAATGCATCCTCATTCATAATGCATCTGAAAATTAATGGATTTGGGTTTATGGTGAAATTACATTAGGAGACTAGTGTGTTAACTGCTAACACATCTGGATGTGCTAGCATTGAATGCAGGGCCGGCTCTAACTTTTTTGCCGCCCCAAGCAACCCTCCCCCCCCAAAAAAAGAGTGCCGCTCCGCCGTAACAACCCCCCGAGCGCCACGCAGCGCCGTCCTGCCGCACTGTAACAATCCCCCCCCCGAGTGCCACCCTGCCCTGCCAAAACACAACACCCCCCAGCTCCGTCCCACCGAAACAAACAACCCCCGAGGACCGCCCGGCCGAAACAAACAAACAAAAAAACCTCGAGCGCTGCCCCGCCGAACCAAAAAAACAAACAAACCCCAAGTGCCGCCCCACCACCTGAAGATTGGCCGCCCCTTACAAGGTGCCGCCCCAAGCACGTGCTTGGTCGGCTGGTGCCTGGAGCCGGCCTGACTGAACGGATTTAATCACAGTATAAATGCTATATGTGGAAGACAATTCATTAAGCTTTGTAAAACAATCCAATTAATTATTATAAAATAATTAAACAAACATCCAAAACTACATTTTCTTTTACTTTAGTATTGTAATTTTATAATGGGGGCAGCTTGCAAATATGTCAGTCTGAAAACTCAAAGGCTTTTAACCTTTCACATATTTTCTATAATGACTTATAGTAGTTGCTAAATATTAAACATGTCTCTAAACAAGGGTTTTTCTCCTCACAGTTTATCCTCCTTTTTAGTTGCTCTTACAGTGAAGTCATATTAAATACCAGTTTAGATATCACAATATTTCCATAGCAATAGACTGATATAATAAATGCAGGATGGATAAACAATGCTTTGAAAGGAAAACTTATTAAAACACAAATCTATATAATCTATATATTCTACAAAACAAATACCACCCCAACAACCTAGTATTAATGCAACATTAAAGGTGAGAAATCAAGCACTCTAGAACAGAGCTAAACACAAAAGATCAAAATCAATGGTTATCCTTAATTCCACATGAAACCTACAGACATTACATACTTAATTTCAAAGAGTAAGAACTGCTCATGGAAGTTGTCAGCTCTATGATCTGGTGCATGTACTACTAGTGGTATGCAGGTTACACAGGTTATTTTAAAGTACAGTATAATAAAAATCCATATCTACACTGATTAAAATAACAAAGGTGGTTCACCACACACATCAGTTTTAAATGGGCCACAGGAGGTCTTAGGCATGTTCGACACTTTATTTTACTGCTGTAACTATTTCAGTAAGGGATGTGACTTTTAACTGAAATAATTATACCAGTAAAAGCCTAGACCAATTCTCTGGTGTAGATGCAGTTATACCAGTCTAAAAGTGACTTTTACTGGTATTATTTCCCTTCCCATATAGGAATAACTATACCATAGCAGTATGCAGTTAACTAATGTAGATATGCTCAGTCTCAGAACCACTGGCCTGGAACTATTTGGCCTCCTATGTTTCTGCTCTTGATGGAGGCCTTCTTAGTTCCCTGGAAAAATACCCCTTAATTATTTAGTTTGCAAACTGTGCATTAAAAAAAATCGTAGCTTAGAATTTCACCTCCTTTAACACCCAGTGGAATGCCACTTAACTACTTTGCAATAGTTAATGTTCCCCTATTAAGCACTATTTGTTATAGCAGCTCTGGTTGTGACTCCATAAAGTTGAATCAAAAGTTTACAGTTTAGCAGGAGCTTTAACTTTCATTTTGTAAAAATCTCATTAGAATAGCAAATTTAGAGGGGGGGGGAAGCTTTTAGTACTGTGTGAATTTGTCATGGTGGTTTGATGAAAATTGGGTTGATATGAAGAAAATACTACAAGTTCCAAAATGACCCCTTTATTTAAGTTTTTCATGGAGTTCTCTTATTTTTGGATACCCTTCACAGGAACACTATGCTTTACTCCACACGCACTGATTAATACAGTGTCAGTTATAACTAGCTAGTGTTTGTGTGAGGATTTTTCCTTTTCTGTTATGCAGAAAAGGTTAAACATAGTTAACAGCAATACTGGAGCATGGCTGGCTAAAGAGTCCGTTCAATATCACTGTATCTTGGGGAGGGGGAGGGGAAGAGAAGAGTCCCTAAAGCTACAAAAGAAGAACCCATAAGTTAAAATACCACCTAGGAAACCTACAGACATTTAAGCAAGTCTGACATTACAAGTCGTTGAGGGGAAATGGACCAACTTTGAACCAAGCCCTCAAAAATGATGGGTACAAGAAAAATAAATACAGAACTGCATGAAGTTTAAACTGGTTTTGGATTATTCTAAAGTCTTTAAAAAGTTGAACATTTGTGTGAGCATCACTGCAGCCTATTACACACAGTGACTCACAGACATTAGAGCTGGAGAAGGCCTATTAAATTATATATAATCTATTCCCTGGAGCCAGCAAAGGATTGTTCCTACATAATATTTTCTAGAACTTTCTTCAGTTTACTTTTAAAGAGAAATTTTAAAATGTTTTCATTTTAGTCATTGGATTGATGTCATTTTCTACAACATTTCAGCTTTCTGATTTCACATTTGCATAGTGTCCTGTAAATAATTTGCAGTAATAAATTTTTATAGCAATAGGATTAGAACAGTGTCACCAGCTTGTTTCTTATTTTCTCCAGCTTTATCCACAGAGATCATTTTGGTTTACAGATATTACAGTATAGATATACCCTAAGTCTACTTCTTTACCAGTGCTGCAGTTTTCCCCCAGGCCACTTCTGACCCAGCCTCTTAAGTTCCTTTCTGGGTCTCTGCATCTCTTCCCTACTTAGTAAGGCTGTCTCACAGAGCTCCCTACCAGAAAAGTTTTCCTTTCTACCTAGTGGTCAGTCCAGCAAGGCTTTATCACTACCTATCCCTAGTTTCCCCTTCTTTATTAGAACCACCTTCTGCTCTTTATGAGGAAGTGCCTGATTCCCCTCAGGTGGGAGTCATGCTGTAATCAGATGGGTTTAGCCCATGGCTCTCCAGCCCAGGGGAGGCAAGCCATCCTGTTACTAGCTCCCTCTGCTAGCAGATGCTGACATTATTAGATCTATTATGCCCTTTAGGGGAGAGGGATAGCTCAGGGGTTTGCATATTGGTCTGCTAAACCCAGAGTTGTGAGTTCAATCCTTGAGGGGGGGCCATTTAGGGAACTGGGGTAAATATCTGTCTGGGGATTGGTCCTGCTTTAAACAGCAGGATGACCCTTCTAACCCTGATATTCTATGATTCTTTGATACCAATAATCATTAAGTGTTTACTTTCTGATGATGGTAGTAGGAGTGGAAAGGAAATGGCTATTGCTGGGTGTCTCTTGAGCGTTCCCAGACAGTTGTTTTGGACAATTGCTTCTAATCCCTACTAGTGCTGTTGTGGAGTCCCACAGGGTTGCATTTTGTCACCTCTCCTGTTCAGTGTGTACACTGTGCTCTTGGGAGGGTTAGTCAGCAGACATAGGCTGCCTTGCTTTCAGTAGGCTAATGACACCCTGCTCTGTATTTCTGTCTCAACCAATCCAGCCAGGATGTAGGGTGGGATAAGAGTGAACTGATTGAAGCTCAATCTGGATAAAATTGAGGTGTTGTTGGTAGACTGGAGAATAGTGTAGGGATGACATCTGCTCCTCTCCCTGAGGGTGTGTACCTGACATTTATCACCAGATATCTCAGTGTGAAAGTACTGTTGGGTTCAAAGCTGTTGTTGGAAGATCACAACCTCACAGTGGCCAAAACAAACTTTTTTCTGTCTCTGTCTGGTCTGAAGATTGCGACTGTTCCTTTTAAATGTGGCTCTTCATCCAGGGCTTTGTAACTGCCAGACTAGATCACTGTACTGTGTTCTGCCTAGGGCTGCACCTTAAATCCAGCTGGAAGCTGAAACTAGCGCAGGATCTTAAAAGTTGCATATCCTAGGGAGAACACATGGCACTGGTCTGCCAGGATCTGCACTGCCTTTGGGTCTCTGGATGGACTTTAAGGAGCTGATCTTGTCTCTCTCTCTCTCTCTCTCTCTCCTGAGAAGCCAGATCCCTCCCAAAGCTTTGCTGTTAGAGCTATAATCAGCAGGAACACTCCAGCTGGAGATGGGACAGACCGCAAAGGGGCCCTGGCTGAAGGATTCTGGACCCCTGATCAGAAATGGCCCAAATCGAAGGGAGAGGGGAGGAGAGAAGAGAAAAAGGGAAGGGTCCATGGGGCACATGCAGTAGCAAGGGCTGCAGTAGGGTTTGGAGAGGCTGGGGCAGAAGTTGGGACTTGCATATCTATATGGGCCATGGTTGGGAGGCGCGGAGGGGGGGGGTCAGTGGGGATGGCACTTTGGAGGGGAAAGTAGGGGGCGCTGTGGGTTGAAATTCAATGCGGAACTGGGAGGCGGCGCTAGGCGGCGCTGTGGGCTGTGGCAGTAGAACTGGGGGGCACCGCAACCTGTGGCGGTGGAGCAGGGCTGGGAGGCGGCGCTAGGGGGCGCTGTGGCGGTGGCTCCGTGCCCGGATCGGCTGCGCTCGGTCCTTCACGCGCCAGTTGCAGGGCGGAAGGCTGCGGCTACGCGCGTTCCAGGGTTGTTTCCGTTGGTGACGTCCGGCGCGTCCGCCAAGGCAGAGGCGCAGCGAGGAGCTATGTCGGCGCCAGCCGGGATCCCCCCGCGCCCTGCCGCAGTCCCTGGAGGGGCCAGAGCGCCCGTCGCCGCGGCCAGGCCGCCGCCCTGTCAGAACGGTGAGGAGCCGAGGCTGGGGATCCGCACGGGCCTAGCGCTCGGGCGGGGCTGGACTGGCCGGGGGGCAGCAGAGCTGGGGCTGGCCGGGCGGGGCAATAGCGGTGGTGGTAGAGCGGCGAGGGCCGGGACAGAGGAAGGCGTGGGGGGGACTGGGGCGAGGAGGGGGGGACAGGAGGCTGGGACGGGCGGGGGCGGGGCCTGGGACGCCGGGCTGGGACAGAGGGGGGGGGGGGGGGCGGGGGGGGGGGGGGGGGTGGGGGGAGCGGGGGGGGGGGGGGCTGACTGTGCCGTGTGGCGTTTCCATGGTTTTTGTCTCGGTTAGCTGGGCTGTGTGTGTCCACTCATGGATTTAGCACATGTACTGTGCGGTCCAGTCATGCTCTCATCTAGCTGAGTGACAGGCTGGTTTAATGTCACAGCAGGCTTTTGGGATGCAGAGTGAAGCAGTGCCTTCACTTCACGGGAGATTCTTGTAGTCCTGAGTGTGGTTAACCTCGATCGGTGGTGATACTCAGACTGAGGCTCGGGAGCCACAAATGGCTCTTTAATGTGTTTCCTGTGGCTCTTTGCAACACATGATATTAAAATTATTATTTAATTATTAACCAAACAGGATGCTTTTACTATGGGCTTGACTAACAGCTAAATCAGCACTGTTGCTATTGATGCAGTGGTGTCAGTGACAAGTTGTCGATGGCATAGCGCTGTCCCATCGGCTTCTGTACTCCAGCTCCCTGAGAAGTGTAAGGTAAATCAGCAGGAGAGCATCTCCTTTCGACACAGCAGGGTGTAGACACCGCTATAACTGACCTAAGGCCTGGTCTACACTGGGGGGGGATCGATATAAGATACGTCGGCTTCAGCTACGCTACTCTCATAGTTGAAGTTGCGTATCTTAGATTGACTTGCGGCGTGGATCGACGACCGCCGCTCCCCTGTCGACTCCACTTCCGCCTCTCGCCCTGGTGGAGTTCTGGAGTCGACGGGGAGCGCGTTTGGGGATCAATGTATCGCGTCTAGACAAGACGCGATACATCGATCCCCGATAGATCAATCACTACCCGCGGATCCGGCGGGTAGTGTAGACATACCTTAAGTAACATCAAGTTCAGTTTTGTAACTTACCTAACTGAAGCAGCATAACTTAGGTTGATTTACAGCTTTAGTGTAGACCAGCACTATTTTGTTAATCGATTGTAGTTGATAAAATAATACTTGATCAGTCATTTTGCTTTGAGAATAATCTATGGGTATAAAAACTAAATATGAATATATAGTACTATAGCAAATAAAACAATGAATTTACACTACTGTAGATCTTTTTTGGGTAATGTTGATCACTAATTTGGCTCCTAAACCACTGTGGTCTGAGTATCACTAGCCTAGATATTGGCTTCCCTCTTCACAGACACACATGATTTGCAGGTGGAGGTGACCTCTTTGGCAGTATGGAGAGCCCTGCAGGAGAGACTTTTCGCTTCGTAGACAAGCATGCACAGCTATCTAGACATAGTTTGTGTTTTTTACTGTGTCTGGTGGTTGGGAAGTGGTGTGAAGTGTTTGAAATTAAGTAGCTGTATAACTGAGATTTAAAAAACCAACCTTTGATAAGTTTTTGACTATCACTGCAATTCTGGCTCTGAAACAGAGGAATAACTTCTCAGAATATTAAATAGTGCCAGTTAGGCTTATTCAAAATAGTAAGTGAGGTAGTACAATATTTTTCCTCTAATTTAATTCAATTTTGGAACCTTTCTAGGTGGAAAACTGCATCTTGGGAACACTTTGGAGGCTGTAACACACTCAGGTGTTGGTTCTGCAAACACTTAGACACATGGTTTATTTTGTACACCTGAGTAGTTTCAATGGGAATATTTGCATTCCCAGTGGATCTATTCATATACACCAACTAAGCATGTGCATAAATCTTCAGGGTTAAGACTTTAGGGATTTGGGGGAAATAAACATAGGTCTGGTGCATGATTATTCTTAACAGGATGTGAATCACTAAAACATGATGCCTTTTGTTTCTTATGGTGTTTTATTATAACAAAATGAGAAGACATGCACTTCAAGTTACATATCCTAAAATTGAGCAAACTGTGTATTTTAGCATAAAAATATACTAAGAGTATAAGTCTTTACATATATTTTAATCTACAATGATACTGTCACTGATTTTATAGCTCACAATTTTAAAATTGATCGTAAAATATGTATAATTGATTTAATGAGGTCTTTACAGCTTCTGATCCTAATCAGTTTCATTTCTCTCTGTTATTTGTGTTAAGCATATTTGCTAGCATTGCATTTTAACATTTTCTCCTAGGCTCTGATTTTACAGTCAGGTTGGCATGGGCACAGAGGTTAGTCTTTGTAGATCTGTTAGCAGGATTGAGGTCTTTAATTTTAATGCTCCTTGGTTATACGAACAAAGTTTTAGCTGTCATGTTTAGGCAACAGATTGTGAATCAAGTTCATGCAAATATTGCTGAAGGTTTGTAGAAACCTAGGATGATTAAATAGAAACTTTTGAGAAAGAGGCTTTCAACTTAAATTTTGTAATAACTTTGACCAATATACATTTTTCCATGTTTATAAAATTCTAATGTAAACAGTTGTTTTCAAATAAACAGCCATTTCCATGCAGTGTTGAAATCCAAATATTGTAACACTAAAAATAGGAAACTATAACTGACTTCATATATTTTTACTATATCTAAGACCATGGAAGAAATGTCAAAAATAAGAGTAAAAATAGTAATGACCATTTGGATTTTTAAAATTCTTTCACTGTAATCGTTTATGGGCTTATCAGCAACATGAGTAAATAATTTTGTTTACAACCTTTTTTAGTTTGACCATTTAATATACCTGTGATTCAGACAATCATTTTTAATTCTTAAAAGTTTTTTAAAAATAAACTCAGTAGCTGACTCTTACATTTTTCACCTTGTTAGCTCCATAATTATTGAGTATCTGTTTCTTGGTTTGCATATTCTTTACCTTGGGATATATTTACAGTCATGTAGAGTTGGTGATTCATAGGTAAAGTGTTAATTTAATTTGTCACTTTACATAACCACACAATAACGTTTCAACATTTTGAAAAAGATAACTTTGTTTTTGATCTACCAGTCCTGGGAACTTACATGCAGCATTTGGGGCATTTTTTATATAAAGGAAGGGGAGAAAGAAGGGAAACAGAAAATCGAAAAACAAGACTGCCAGACTTTATTTTTTTAGTTTTAATGCCATGTTCCACTTTGCCCAGAATGACACCATCTGCTTCCTTGAATTTGGTCTATGTTTCTAAAATCAGTGTTACTTATATGTTGGGAGGAGTAAGTAGTGCTTATGTAAATATAGTTTCTGATGTGTTTGCACATGCTAGAGATAACTGTGTGTTGCTGCGAGAATACTGCATACATTAGACTTCATAAATTCTGTCCGATCTTCTCCCAACTCTTGGAATTTATTGGAGCCTCACAAAGAGCTCAATCAAAAGACTTCCATCAGAAGGATTTAGTGTTTGGCAGAGGTGATAAATTGGGGCTTGCAAGTATTCAAAATGATGTTAGTTCTCATGGCCTTGATACTATTTGTCTGATCCAGGGGACAAGTCCATGTGAAGGATCCTTAGTGACTTTCATACTGGTACACACTTTAAAAAAAGAATGTTTTGAAATATTGGCTTTCCTTTTGTTTGTCCTAATAGTTTTCTTCCTAACTATTCAATTTTTCCTGTTTGATTCTGTGCTGAAGCCCTTCTTTTAAAATAATACCTATTTTGCTTAGCCCATCAATCTTGAAGTCCAAATGTAAGAACTTCTCACTGAATATTTGAAAATAAAATTATTAATTATAATTGAGCATGTTGCTGGTGGCTGCTATCTAGCTGAAAAGTGACACCTAGAGGTAGGTAGTTCTGTAATATGAATTCAGACTATTCATGATTTTTTTCCAACAGTCTTAAGGAACTGCAGTGTTAAAAATTAAACATGTTGAAATATTAAATACTAAACTGATAATCTATTACAAAAATCCACACATTTCTGTAGGAAGACTTTTTTATAATATTGTTCCAAGAGACACCTAAGGTTACAACTAAAATAGATGCTTGTTTTTCTTTAGTTTGGTTTGTGCATTTGATAGCACTTTGGGGTAGTCAGTTTCACTCGGGGCTGGTCTACATATGGCTTTTGCACTAGTATAATTGTCGGGTAGGTTGGTTGGTTGTTGGTTTTTTTGTTGTTGTTGGTTTTTTTTTTAAATGCCGGTATAGTACAACCCCCTAATGTGGATGAAGTTGTACTGGTGTAAAGGTGCCTTAGACCATTATAGCTTCTTCCCCGTCCCATAGGGGAATAAGCTATACTGGTATAACTGTGTCTACACTAAGGGGGTTTTACCACTTTAACAATATTGGTGTAGTTAAGGTGGTATAATTTTTACTTTTAGACAAAACCTGTTTCTTCTTCTATCAAATTTTCCCTGTTTACATGAGTCTCTTTGCGCAGCAACAGAAGAAATAAAATGGAGAGAAAGTTGCTAGGGGTTTTGAGGGGAAGTTGTAGTACCTGAATCTCCAACTCATATTTTGTAGTTATCTAGATTTCAAGTTAAAGATGACAGGTTTCAGAGGCGTAGCCATATTAGACTGTATCAGCAAAAACAACAAGGAGTCCTTGTGGCACCTGAGAGACTAACAAATTTATTTGGGCATAAGCTTTCATGAAGTGGGTTATAGCCCACGAAATCTTATGGCCATTAAATTTGTTAGTCTCTAAGGTGCCACAAGGACTCGGGTTTTTTTTTTTTTTTTTAATTTTATAGTGTATCATGTCCCGGGTTAACGATTATGTTGCTTTTCAGCTAGGCATCCATCACCAATAGTAGATTCAACTGTTATTGTAATTAAAAATTTAAGACAATATTTTAAAATTTAGGTTCCTTAAAGGCACCTAGGTCTATATTTAGTATCCTAAATAAAAAAGTA